CCCATATCACACCAGTGAATCGATCTCGAATCACCAATACATCCTTATCCGGCATGATCCCATCTCTTGCCATCTTCTGAGTGTTCATGAGATCGAAAGTGATAAGGTCACCGAATGCCTTCAATTTCCGTTTGAAAGCTCCCTTGCTAGTCTTATAGTGCTTCATCTTTGCTCTCACACATGACTTGCAGTATGGGTTCTTGTATCGGTGCGTCATCAAGTGCAATATGGATTTCGCCTCGTTCTTCAGCACTCCTGGTTTTGATAGTCTGGCTTCACCGTCAACCACATCGACTTCCAATAGTCCCTCTTCATCTTCACCAATGTCACTCTCCTCTCGTTCAGAATCCGCATCGCCTCCATGTTCGTCGTCTTCGGCTTCTTCAGGTTGGCCATCGAGATCACGATCGATTCTCGGGTCTTCCCCGTCATATCCCTCTTCAGGAGAATATCCGTCATCACCGTGTTCCTCTGGTTCTCCTTCGTCACCTACGACGGCTGGATTGATATCAGATTCATCACCCCGATCTCTCTTGTTATCCTTCTTCTTTCTCCTCCGTCTCCGTGGTTTCTTGGACGGAGGTTCCTCTTGTTGTGTCTCCTGACCTGCTGTGGCTTCGTCTTCACGCTCCACACCTGACAGTATGCGATGAAGTATCGTAGCCAAGCCATCTGGTCTTGGTAAACATCTCCCGTCATCATCGTTCACCTTGATGTAGGGTATGTTGTCATGCACCGATAGCGGAATCTTGTTCGCGTTCTGGTCGATGAGGTATGGCAATTGGTTCGCCGGCCATATGAATGAGTACCCTTGTTCCATGCATCGTTTCCCGATGGAAAAGACTGATGGTGTGCTCTCCAACACGTGTGCCTCGGACTTCATGGGTAGCTCGTCCACATTGATGTCCACCATCTCTGATGTACTAGTTACACCATTCGCCGTCATGAAGCTCACGGATTTGGGTCCTTCCTTGGTGGTAAGGCCCATGGCATTGACTTTCTCTCTTGAGATCAAGTCATGTCCACATCCCGTGTCCATGATGAAGCGTATCGGTGGTCCATCATACCTCTCCACCGCCATGAACATCGTGTCTCCCGGTATCGTGTAGTTGACAGAATCCTTCCTTACTACCTCGCTGGTGTTGAAGTCAGACAGGTCGACGTTCACCTCGATTCCTTCATCTTGAGTGATTTGTATCCATGCCTTGGCAATGTGCTCAGCATAAAATAGCTCCATCATCTTACCTTTGGCATGTGCTACTCGCGCAGCTATATTGTTCACTCTGAGGGCTCTCAACGATGAAATGAGCTCGGTATCCACCTTCTGTACCTCACTCTTCTTCTTCCTGAGGGGACGGGTGTTTAGCTCGTTACCAGGATCACAGGGGAACGTGGTCACATTCGCCTGGTCATCGAATCTGACTTTAAAGCGAAGCGCCAACTCACCTCGTCGTACGTTGGGAAGTGCAGGTTGCATGTCCTCGTCATCACTCTCGATGTCTCCGCAAAGCATGAAGGCTGGCGCAGCCGGCTTGGGCTTGGCTTTGCCTTTAGCCTCTTGTTTCGTAGCGGGAGCAGCGTGATGTTGACGTCGACATTTGTCCCCGAACTTGCACGATCCTTTCTGCCAATTCCAACAGACCTGATCCTTCATTGGCTTAGGGCTAGTGCTCCTGCCACCAGGACTCTTTGATCTGTCACCCTTGAGGCTTTCTGGTTTCTTAGCAGAACTTTTGTGCTTCTCTTGGTGACTAAACTTGCATTTGTCTCCTCTAGAACATCCGTTTTTCCCATGGAAGTGGAAGGCGCATCCTATCTTGGACGTATCTGCTGGAGTCGCTGACCTGCCACGATCTCCCTTTGGGCTCTTCGTGGTCGATCTCCCACGATCCTGCTTCTTGTCCTTCTTATTGTGGTCCTTCGGATTAGCCTGAGGAAGCACTGGAGCGGCGTCCTTCGGTGGATCGGCCTTGGTATTCTTGGGTTTCGCCTTAGGGTCCTTCTTCTCCGCCGCTGGTGTGGCTTTCACGAGGTTCCCAAAGGCCTTTTCCCTTTCCTTCTTGTTCGTGGTCTCGATCGACTTCCGTATCCACTTCGCCATGATCTCTCGTAACTTCTGGTAGGTCTTATCCGGATCCTTATCCAACATGTTGTCGTATACGGACAAGTCTAACGCCATGACTTTGGAATCCTTAATCTTATCCCAAAGCAGGTTGCGGAGTGCTTTGTCAGGAAGCATGTCATCCGCATCCATACCTGATAGGATCTCATCCCACTGTCCAAGGAATCTGGATAGTTGATTATCCCCAGGGAACTTTAGATCGAATAAGTGCTTGGATGCATACATCACATCAACGTTGTCGGCACTCCGGAAGCTGTCGACGATCAACGCTAACATCTCTCGTCCTTTGACCATTCCAGGAGTTGTGCCTCTCGCACGTCTCTGCATCATCTGTCTCACCTTCAATTGTACATCATGAGATCTCTCACCTGCTGCGTGGATAATCGTATGTAGGGTGATACCTAGCTTAGCGTCTATGCTAGCGAATCTTGCTTCGCCTGATGTCTCGAGTAGAAATGGGTCATATGGTGATCTGAAGGCATCCGAGAGCCACTGGATCCAATCTTCCTGTCTTTCGTCGCCCGATGCCGTCACGACTGCCGCTACAACCTGGGATTTCCAAACCTCCAAGTCGTGTATCTTGGGCCAAGCAGGGATGTTGATCTTCTCGTGTTCCTTCCGAGATATTTTGGAGCCACCCGAGCTAGAGGATGAAGCGGCACCATGTTCGGTTGCGGCTGCATTCAAGCGCTCCTCTTCGTACCTCCTCCGGTACTTATTCCTCTCATCTCTGAGCCGTGCTGCATGCGCTTCGTATTCCATCATGTCCTGTTGGTTCTGCATCATACCTTCATAATATTCCATTGCCTCCTTCTCCTCGGACCTTAATGACTTCTCGGTACGTCCAAGTTCCGCTCTAAGCTTGGTCATCATCTCATTCTCCACATTGGGTCCTGATCCCATGTCTGATGGTTTCAACGTCAGTGCGACTTTCAATTGTGCTTCACTTGCACTTGATTCGATCAATTCTTCCTGAAGACGATTCAACATTCTCTCTTTACGTAGGATGTCTTCTTCCAACATGTTCATCTTGACTTCAGCTTTCTTGAGTTCGACGTTGGATGGTTGAGACAGTCGATCGGATCCTTGAATCCTCGCCTGCGTCAACTCCTCGTTCGCCCTCTTCAATTGCTCCCTGATGGTCATGATGAAATTGTCCTGATTATAAGATCGGTTGCTGAGCTCTTCATTCTCTTCTGATAACCATTTGATCTTGCTTGCATACATTGCTTCCTTCATCTTCATCTCCTCAGCATATTCGTGTTTGTTCCTGACACTCTGTCTTTGTAGTCCCACTAACTCCTGTCTATACAGATCCCTAATGTTCTCAGCATCTGCGACTGCAGTCATGACCTCGGTTACGGCTCGATCTCTTTGCGCCGATATAGCCTGGATCTCTTCCGTGCCGATGTTCACAACTTGGCTAACCATCTCTGCGCTGTTGCGATCAGCGTGCTCCCCTAATTGGGTGAGACGATCCCGCATCGCCACACGATCAGTGTCAATCTGGTATTGCAAATCGTGTGCTGCCGAGAGCAAACAGTCTCTGGATTCTGTAAGTTGGGAGATTCTTCGTTGATTCCCATATCCTTCGACATAACATTCCTCGAGGTGTGCCATCACTACTTCGTGGACTTCGGTCTCGTGTTGTATAATCTGGTTCTGTCTCTGCTCACATTCGACCATCCATGCGTTTTGGTGGTTCAACACATGCACTTCGGCAAGTAGTTGCGCACACTTCGCATTCAGGTCCCCATCGGCCTGTGCTAGCTGTAGGTTGTCAGTGCTTGCCCTTGCTCCATCTCCAGCTTCGCTGTCCGACGGCACTGGTACAGTTGATCCATCCTCCAATGCTAGCACTCTCACAGCTCCGGTGTCAGTCCTCCTCCTCGTCTCCCTAGGGCTACGGCCTGATCTTGGTGTCCCTCCCGGTGGTGTCGAATGCGCTGACGGGGAACGACTTCGTGCTCTACCTGTCGCACCTTCTCTCACCACTGTCAGGGTCTCCGCCTCGATCGTGCCTGGACTAGAGTTGTGGGATGCACTCATCCGATCTGCGGCCGCAGCAGCTGCTCCAAAGGATGCAGTGCTAGCGTCGGATTGTTCCATCCTCAGTGACTGAGGGTAACCGATCTATCCGATGCGTGTGCGTTTAGATGGTGTTGTGTAAGGCCGCAGCTCGTATCCAGCTCAAGAGAGTCCGGCTACGGCTGATAACCTGCGAACGGATGGAAAGGTGTGCCCTGGCCCCGTTCTAGCCCTTAGTTCAACATGAAGCTCGCGCGCTAAAGCTCCTTTTTACCTGGTTGGGCACTTGAGCCAAATGTATATGGCATGTACCTATATAGCAACTATACTGGGACCTCATCCCTATTGACACAAAATGACCTCAGCCAAAAAAGATCTGGGTGCCGAATTGGAGTGTTTTCCACTTCCATTTACTGTATCATGGGGAGGATTTAAACGTCTCCCTGCTTCCGGGTTTCCCGGAAGCTCAGTTTGCAAGCTGCGCTGCGTGTCACCTCCACGTTCAAAAAGATGACCCGAAGGGATGGCCCGTTGACTGCAAACATGGCTGGTGGACAGGTGAGGGATGTTGAACACTGCCAAATGATCAAATACAGTGAGTTCGAAGTGGAAGGCAAAAAGCTTCCATTTCATCAAAGGGCTGCGTCCAGAAGCAACTAAAGCATACTAAAGCCTTCCCTGCTTCTTCCACATCACCAGCCCCTCCACGGACTCACAACTCATGTTCCTCGCTACATCTGTGGAACACTTATGTGCACCAAACAGGGTCACCATGGGTCACCTGTTGGGATTCAAAGTGCAACCGGTGACGGACACGTCGTGCCCCCGTCGTTCTTCTTCGCCAGGAGGCTGTCAACAATTGAACGACCGCCTCGTGACTCAGAGCCTTGTGAAAGCGCGCGGGCGTGAGAACATGCGCAGAGTTCGTTGTTTTATGTTGTTTTCGAACCTCGCAACAAAAGGGCAAAACACGGAGAAACCGGAACAGTCTACGAGCAAACACACTACGTTCGGCGCTCAGCCTTACTAACTATATAGGAACAAGAAGCTACGAACGGAGCAAAGGGCATCGCTACGAACCGTTCGCGATCGGACGCCTATTTTTCTCCCTGGACGGAGCAAGTGCCTCTCCCAATGGGCTGGAGACCATGGGCAGTTCAAAGGCCGTATCGCACCACAATGGCATGAGCTCCTCGACCCGACCCGCGCAGTCCGCGAGTCCGCGAGTCTGCGCCGTCCGACGCGCGACACACGTTCTTCATCGAAGTGGGGAGCGTTCGAAGCAGCGGGACGCCGCGTCAGAGACCGCCAGAAGAAACGTTATAATAGTACTAATATGTCGTGAGGGACTTTGTTAAAGCATGAAACGGATGTCGGGTAAATATGAAAAAAAACACGTAGAATAAAGCTCCTGAAAGTGTTGAGTGCACCACCAGTACAGCGCAAAGTCCAAACAAAGGCTTGTCAGCCAAAGAACAAAAAGCATAGGACCATAGGAATCTAAAGCAACATGGTTATGACACTGCAGTGCATGACCCCATAACCGGCAGCCCGAATCTCCAGCTGCCGCATCGTCAGGGACGTCAAAGGGACCATCAAGTGGCACGAGATGAACTGAGCACCTGAGCATCTCAATACGCAAAAACTGCAACTCGGCCAGAACTCGTTTCCCTTCCAGCCTGCCACGTGGTCGAAATGAAAGTTCAATCCAGGCATTCCCAGCGCTGCAGCTTTTGCAACCACCTCCTGGGAAGCATGGCCCAGCTGCTGCCAGTGGTTTGGACACCCTACAGTAGACCCTTCATGTGCTGCTCCTGGCTTCTCACGAAAGGCCCAGCAGTTCCTTTCACTTCGAAAGCTTTGAGGCCCAAAGAATCCAACCACACACCCTGAATGGAGCATGCAGCCACACCACCATCCCACCGCCCACAGGACCACAGGATGTGTATTGGAATAGGGAGTCTTCCCAGGCAACGGCCTCCTGGAAGGTTCGACCCCCCAACAACCCCCCCCTTGCGGCGAACTTTTTAGAACATACATCCAAGTAGATGTAGAAAAGTAAGTCAACCCTCAAATATGTCTTGGAAACCGTGCCAGTATCTATTTGGGGGACCAACCACCACCAGCCCACACTCGGCACCATCCACCTCGCTCGTCAGCATCGTCAGCACCGACTCCTTGAGTCGCGTGGAGTCCTTCCCAAAGACTGCGCTTGGCACACCGTTCTTCACCGTGACTGTGGACACATCCTCGATGAGATGAGATGTCAAGAGAAGCGAGAACGGTCCTGGTGGAGTTTCCACGGTGATGCCCCTAGAAATACAATACACCCTGGAAGAAACCCAATATGGAACCTGAAAACCACGTCGGGGTTGTAGAGGAGAATAGTCTTCCAAAGGTCCATTCTCAGGTTCCATGTTAATCTTCCCGGGTGTATCATGCTGCTTTCGCTTCAACCACTCCAGCACAATGGGACAGGTCATGATGTGCGGTGCTCTTGTGATTCCTTGCGCCAAGCTGCGATGAGCTGAACTCGACTCACATCTGGCACCTGAAACTGTGCCGAGACTTCCTCCGGGGTTTCAACTTCGTTCTCATCCTCCGCGGCTGCGAGCTCTTCACCAGCCTTCTTCATGCCCTCCTCGCCGAGGGTTTTCCTCATTTGCTCTATCAAAAGCAAGGACATCAAAGGTCAGCCTCTCCTCGCGCTGTAGAAGAACATTGACTGGAAAGCTCGATTTCTGTCTTTTTGGCTCTCTGATTGCACAGCCGACACGGCCGCCAAGCTTCTTTTGCTGTTCAAGGCGGGCTGCATCTTCCGCTTGAATCTCTTCGCCTGTGGCCTTGGAGGGACAACCCACCACGGTGACGCCGGGTGCGCACAGGAAGCATTGGCAGAGCGTGGCCCACTTCTCCTGCAAAGGCGGGTTTGAAGGAACACCCAGTCCATTGCTGGTTGGTCATTGCCCAAAAGTGGTGAATGCTATGCGGGGGTCCTGCTTCTGTGATTCAGTTGCCAGTAATTCAGTGATTACATCAGTCACATCTGGTACTTTGTATGGATGCCGCCTCGTGACGATCATGGGTTAGAAGCGCCCTGGCCGGTTTGCCTATCAGCAGCTTTGCAGATCGGTTCCTATTTGATCGGCGGGATTTCTATTTGCCTCTTCGAGATTGACTGCAGCATGGTGGGATTCTTTGCGGAAAGAAAGCACAAATAATACATCCGTATGACATACATATAAACTATATTTCTTTTTCTTCGTGTCTTTTCCGACTGCTCTCAACCGTTGGCCGTTTTGGCCCGGAAACATGTAGGCAAAGTCGTCTGCTGCATAGGCTGTCCGCATGGTTTCTTGAGGCTTCTGCTTGCCCTGAAGCCATTTCCATCCGGCATGCCATGCGCCTTGCAGACATTGCAGTAGAGCTTGCCTCCCTTTCTCCACATCATGTGACTTGCATGGCCCTCCCATTGCGGTCCGGGTGTCCAGACTTGGTCCCAGCAAGGGGCCTGTGCCAGGCTGATCAGCTTGTCCCGAGAAGCATGTCGCAGGGACCGAGCATTGCAGCTGTGGCACACCAAGTAGTTTGTCTGGAGGACAAAGTTGTGTGGTGCCATCCCCGGGAGCTCCTTGTTCAGGAGGCTTTGCAGCAATCCGGCCTTCGTCAGCTGCACTGCGTCGTTGCCTCCTTTGATGGGCATTTCACTGGCCACTTCACACTCTTCAGCCTTGATGCGGATCAACTCTTCATATTTGCAATGCTTGGTAATGCGCTTCTTGCAGGACTTGCATTGGAGCCCTCTGGGACATGCTTCCCAGCTGTGTCCCTTTTCAGCGACTTGATTGCCAATGTCCAGGAAGAGCTGAGCCTTTTTGTCCCTAGCCTTCTGTCTATTGGCCTTGCCCTGTTCTCTGGTCTGGTTCAACAAGTGTTCCTTTGTTTCCATCAAACACTTGATACGAAACGCACTATAATATATAGCATATACATATACACACACGTATGTATATATATATATAAATATTAATTAACTAATATATATATATATATCCTTGTATACAGTAAATACTATATACTAAACACTAATATATACTATTATAAAGGTACATAAAATTATATAAATATATATTCGATGAGGCCATCACTAATCTACCGACTACCGAACCATCCATGGCAATGCCGGCTGACCCAGCCCTCTCCTCAGACCAGCTCAGCAGCTTCTCCAGTGTGGCTGGCGCGTCCAGTCGTGCTTTCACCGAAGCTCCGCTGGCTCCACTGGCACTGGTGGAGGCAAACTCCTGCATTGGATCAGGCTACATTGGCTACATGCGTGGTGGTGTCCGTCTGCGTGTCCTCTTTTTTGGTAGAAATGCCATGTCCATCCGCATCCCAGAAAGCGTGAAACTGATGAAGCATAAACATCATTAAACATCCATATACCTTCCCATCCATATACGCGCAACGGAAGGCATCTTTCAGATCACTAAAGCCTCTGCCAGAGTCTCGAAGATGGGTCGAACAAATGGTCCAAAGTCTCCTCCGCATAGAGGAAGGCCCCAATGATCTCCCCACTGAACAAGTCATGGGGATTGGACTCCACGGCACTCAAATGCTGCCGCTGCTTCTGCCGGATCACCTCGGATGTAACACGAACGATTCCCAAGATATATGTCTCAGAACCTCTTGTTTTGCAAGAAAAAGGGTCCTTAAAAGGAAGTGAACGCCGATGTGGACTGCTTGTTTAAACATGAACCAACTTGCACTCTTCAAGCGCGGCAGGTCGATGCCCTCTGCCTTCGCCGTGCACTTGAAGACCTTGGAAAGGACTCGCTGGGAGCAAGCAGGGTGAGAGACTCCAAATGAGTATGGATGAATCACTGGGTGAATCGCTTGTCCAAGGGTTGAGTGCAAAGAACACCTTCTTACAAGTAGACCTTATAACCATTTTGCTGCTGCTGGTAGTCGTGCAAACTGGTCAAGAGTTTGGAGCTCCTGTTTCAACAAAGCGCCTTTGACTTGGCTTGGGAGGCAGGGAACAGCGAAGGTCCAAAATAGGAACCCTATCAAAATAGAAACCATCCGGGATCGATCACAGTATTTGAGTGGGAACGTCCCGATCCAAAGAAATCCTTTCCTTTCATTCCTCGCTAGTAGGAACAAGAAGCTACTAGGGGCTCCTGGCCATACTGCTAGGAGCAAGGGCGCTACTAGGGGCTCCTGGCATCGCTACTAGGAGCAAGGACGCTACTACTATGCTGGATCCTTTTTCCCCAATCAAGAATACAAACGAGAGGCTGCTTGCACCTCAGAGGTGACGTCTCTCTTCTGGAGCTGTTCCACGTCGCAGCTCTTTAAGGTGATGTTAATGAGCTGAGTCTTGTACTCGTGCAAACCTCGCGCAAACTCGTGAGCCGATGTAGTGATGTAGTGCCTTGATACTGGCCTTGATCTATCATTCTTGGACCGCTTTAAGAGCCATCAAAACAGCTTGATGATGTTTGATGCCCATCCGGCGAACTGAGGGTCAAAACCACCTGCTTGCAAACTTGGCAAGCCGTGAGCCTTTGCCAAAGCCATGGCGTCTTTTGGCGATAGACTGCCAGAAGAAAAACACCCCCAACATCCCAAAGCCTCTGTGTCTGTTACGCACCGTTTCACCACCACATTACCTAGCCTCCAGTTACTGAGTTGAGACGTTCCCTCTGCCGACTTTCTTCAGACCCCCCCCCCCCCCCCAACCGCTCCCCCTAAACCGCTCCGACGCACCGGTTCGTCCGACGTTCTCACCGTCCACACCGCTGCGATCTCCGTCCGCGGCCTTCGGAGATCTTCCCGCACAACGGTGGCACGGTCTCCACCAGTGCCTTCCGCAGCGGTGAGATGGAATCTTCACCTTAGGAGTCGACGGAGAGTCTCTTCACGTGCCCCTGTTTTGGCCAAATGCATTTCAAAGAACGAAGTAGTGCATTTCACCGTTCCATGAAAGTGGGGAAATGGACAGCCACCACCACCTGTTTGGTCTGACATTATGAGGATTTCTGGAAAATGGTCCGAACAATTGGAACCATGCCATCATGCCATCCACTTCCCAGGGTTTTGTAGCGAACAAATCCTTGACAACTGGGTCATCCTTGTGGATGAAACATGTCTCCTCGCCCATGCTCGCCTCAGGGCGACATCTGAGCGTACTGCACTCATATGACCCATGGACGTGGAAAACCCACCCCCCCTGTTGGCAGAGCCAAAGGGTCTGGCCGATGTCGGGCCTTCCATTTCCACACGCGCACATAGTGGGTCAGTGGGTCTTAGAAACATCGGAGGGTTTCTTCAAGATGTCCTCTGCAAATACACCAGCAGCGGTTTCAGAGTAGATGGCACAATCCCCAAAAGGTGGTTTGGATGGACCCCTACATGTATATATAAAAGACATCTTTGTGTGTGTGCTACCTACTCTGAAACCACTGTAAATACCACGGCCTTGCAATTTCTGTAGCTTGGTGATTCTTAGGCACCTCTCGAGTTTTATCCGTGTTGCTTGGGCGGTGGAGACGTACGACGTACCCTCAACTGTTTCAACTGCTGCGCCAGTTCCTTTTAAGTTCCTTGTGACCTGAGGCACCTACATTGATCATCCGCTAAGCTTACATCCCAAGATATCAGGACGAGGCACATAGGTACGCCAGCAAGACCTTCAAAGCGACCACATTCTCCAAGTCAGACCATCCTCACCACATTCTCCAAGACCATCACCAAACGCGATGTTCGCTCCCGAACAAAACCCCGAAACCAACAGACGACGCAAGCCTCCGGTGCTCGGGTTACACCCAAACGACGCCATGAAAGACCGGTACTTGGCACGGACCCGCCTGGGCCGTGCCAGCAAAGCTCGCAGATCGCTCCTGTGCTTTCATCTTCTGCAGGAAAGGTCATCCTGGATAGGTAAGGACACCGTGGCTTTTGACGCCCCGTTTGTCACAGGGCTTCAGTACTTCAGTGCTCTCCGCCAAATCGGTGAGTTGAGTACCGTGGCACACACACACACATGGAGCCCTTGACACGGACATCACTAAACTCATATGACATCATATGGCTGGTTGATGACTGTTGGGCCATCTTTCCAGTCTTTGACTAACCGGGCGGCTTATCAAGTAGAACAGTTCCAGGTTTGTCATCCAGCTGCTTGGATGCAGGTTCACGGTTCACGGAGGTCCACAGATACAGATTCACTGACACCTGCGCAGCTCCAGCATCGCCCCACATTCATCCCATTCACCTCACTTCCTGCTGCTGGCTAACACCAGGCACAGCGCTGGAGAAGGGCCTCGACATTCCGCATGAATCCCCAACTCGATGGACAAAACTGATCTAGCAGCAAATGTGAAAGAACACTAGGTGTTTGTGCGAGTGAGAGAAACAAAACATATATGTAGAACTCCATAAAGCAACGGACGTGTCATACCTTCATCCACTACCACCCCCACACTTCCAGCGGACTGCGAACGTTCTCAGAACCCGTGGTGGAAAAAAACGCATGGCCATTCTCGGAATACTTGTGATCTCCTCCACGCTGATGTAGCGATGAGGATAGTAGATGATAGTAGGTTAGTACATGTTAGTAAGCTCCAGTGATTGAGCCCCGAAGTGTATCGATGTGATGCCCCGAAGATGTCCTAAGTCAAGAGTTCGGCGACAATAGCCATTGACTTCAAGATGCTTCCTTCAGATGGGATGCATCATGATCCATCACTTTCTTTTGCGGCTTTTGCAACAACTGTGTCTGTCGGCTTTTGCTTCCGTGCTCCAAGCGCCTCTCCATGGCCGGAAGCCCTTTGAAGTGGCTCTTCTTGATGCTGGCCACAGTGGGTGCGCAGGCCTTCAACAACCCCAGCCATGGCACCTGCAGTGCAGGGCACCCTTTCCAGCAAATGGCACTGACAAAGCCAGAACAACTCCCATGATCCTGATGTAGCTGAAACACCTGTGATTAAAGAGTTTTATTTGCTCTATGATGTTCTATGTTGCTCTGAGGGCAAGGCCTGTCCAGTGACAATCACGCAAAAATTGTCCGGCCTGTGCAGCCATTTCCAAGTCCCGGTGTCTTGCAACAAGCAAAGCCCCGGTGTGCCAGCAAGTTCGAATCAACCATATGGTACCACAACCAACTGGCCAAACCATCCACATCCAAAGTTTAGCATGTTTCTCTTGCTTAAAACCGGGCATATGGTTACATGAAAGGATGAGGATATATAGCTTCTTGTGCCTAGTAATGCCAGGAGCTGGCAGCGATGCCCTTATTGCTAGTAGCTTCTTGTTCCTAGTAGTAATCTCAATTAGAATGGGGCTGCTGATGGCTTGTGCGCCGGATGTCGGTCCTGTAGTAAGACTTGTGGTAGTCTCGCACCGTGGCGTTGGTCAACTCGCGTAACTCCTCGAGGTCTCGCGTGGAAAGAGCACATGCTCAATGAGATGCAAAACCAATGACTTAAGTCCGGCCAAGCTGGTGGAACCGCACTTTCGGTGCCCAACCGCACTTGTCAGGGGCCGAACGTGCCGGCCTTGAGGCGTCCTCCGGTCTCGGATTTGTAGCCACAGCGGCCTGGAAGAATTCATTCTCATGGGATTCTTGTTTACAGTGGTTTCAGAGTAGATGGCACAGACCGAAACCGATGTCCTTTACATGGGGGTTCATATAAACCACCTCTTAGGGGTCTGTGCCATCTACTGGTCCTCTCAATCCACTATACATTGGTTTACCGAGATGCTTGGTGCGTCAGGGCGAACGCACAGAACATCAGAACATCAGAATGGCACAGCGAGTGGACCGAGTGGAATGAGTCGAATCACCCACGAACGACTCGCGTTGCGTGATCTGTTGGGCTGCCTGGATAGGCTGCCAGGCGCATGGCACGGTCGCACATGTCTCCAGCCTCATTCTCCCTGCGGATGAAGGGGGCGAGAGCGCAGCTCGGTTATAAGACCTTGTTGTTTAAATAACAAGTAATAGAATATATATATATATAAAGATAGAAGGGGTCTTGAACGAATACAAAAAAATCTTCTTCAAACACATCTGTTTCTTAGCTTGGCTAGGGTTTAGGGCATGACTTTGATCACAAGAAAGAACAGCTGCTCTCTAGGGCGACCTAGAAGTCTCAGCTACAAAGGCTTTGGACTGGTGACCTCAGGGGAATCTGTGAGAAGCATCACAGTTCACTGGCTGCCATCACTGTGTCACTGGCTGGCACAAGCAAAACCATCATCGCTACTAGGTTGGAGGCCATTGCTCTTAGGTTGGAGGCCATTGCTCTCAGGTTGGAGGCTATTGCTCTTAGGTTGGAGGCCATCGCTATTAGGTTGGAGGCCATCCCTTGCAAGTTTCATCGGAGATCATCGGAGATCCGGACGTCTGCCTTGCTTGCATCTCGCAGTAGACCACTCCCGCATCGACGCCCTGGCACCGTTTAAGCAACTTGCAAGCCGGTGCTTGCGAACAGTCCCATGAACCCCCCCCCAAGCAAGCCACTCCGACCATGACGGCTGGTCTCACATCAAACACGTATTGAGACATGGGGCGCTCAGAAGCACTTCAAGGAAATGTGAACACCTTCTCATGTCCAAAGCCTTCTTATGTCTTTGGGGATCGTGCCATCTACTCTGAAACCACTGTACTTTATTCAATCTGGTCCTGGCGATCGCCATACACTCCGCGAGCCAGCCGCGAGCCGTTGAGTCCTCCCCAGTGATGTGATGCACTTCAGTGACGAAGCCGCTGTCCTACAGACGTTCATGTTTGTTGCTCTGATCTCGCATGGAACTGCTCTGATCTCGCATGCTGCGATGAAGCATTTTGTGTTATTCACAAACCCTGCTGGGAACGAATCCACCATGATCCCGAGAAACCAAAGTGGCCTCAGGGGGCCCTTTTGGGGCCCTTTTTTTTCCGCGTTTACTGAAACCGGCGGCACCTTCAAAGTGGGGAATAGCACGTGATCCAAGTAGACCGGCAGCAACCGGAGGAAGCCCTCCGCTCCGGCCGTGTCCACTGTGTAGCAAGTGTGATCCTCATCTGCAGGCGCTGTAGCAAGTGCTTTCGTTTGTCTCGTGTGCGCATTCTTGTGGTCCAAAACGAACAGGCCGACTCTTACTGAAAGCATTCTTGTGAGTGGTATCTACAATGGGACAAGTAGCTATTGTATGCTATTGTAATGTTTGTTACTAGTAGCTTGCTTCTAGCTACTAACTAGTAGTCATGCCCTTGCTACTGGTAGTGATGCCCTTGTTACTAGTGGCCATGGGCTGAGCCAAATGGAATTTGCACTGAAAGTTTCATCGCCTCGCTTGCTGACAGGCATCTGTCGCCGTCCACGCGTTGGTGCCCTGAGCCAAGCAGCGGTTGGCTAAAACATCCAGGACACCTCAGCAGCTCGAGAAGCTACAAGTAAAGAAGCTACTAGTAACAAAGGCAAGTAACAAGGGCATCGCTACTAGCAGCTAAAGAAGCTACTAGCAACAAGGGCATCGCTACTAGCAGCTAGAGAAGCT